CGGTGTCGGAGGCAGTGTCGGAGGTGGAGGGCTCGGGGCAGGCGCGTGCCGGCGTCACGATGACAGCGCGTCTCTGCTCCTCTTCCTGCAGCTGCTTCTCCTGTGTCCCCTCGATGTGCTGGATCGCCTGGCAAGGGCAACCACCAGCCATCAGGATGGCTCGTGGTGTCCCCTCTGAGGCACCCCGTGGGGTATTAGGGAGCCTCTGAAACCCTCCCACCGCAGCCCATCCTGCTGCCCCACTCACCTGAACGATGGTGTCCAGGTTCTGCCGGGACGTGGAGACTGTGTTGATGACTGAGGACGGGCCCATGGTGACCACAGTGACGTGATGGGAGGGAGGTGGCGCTGGAACGATCACCGTAGGGTGGTGGGTGGGTGCTGGGGGAGCATGTGATGGCAGGAGCTAGGGAGAGAAATGAATCCTTCTGGTGAGCAGGCACCTGGGCACAGCAGCACCTTGTTCATGGAGCCCAAACTCCTGTGAAAGCTGAAGCATCACTCGTCTGCTCCAGTTCTCCATCCTGTATGAAGCAGGAGGATGCCAGCTGAAAGCTGCCACTACTTAGGTTTGGCAGAATAGAACATGAAAGATTCCCTGTATTCCCAAAGAGGAACGACTTTGGCTTTGAAGCCAGGAGAGGCAAGTGCCAGCCCTGCCACTGCTCTGAACTCTGTGGCTGGGAACCCCCCCGCACTCCTCGGAGATCCTCATTCTCCAGCGGATGGGAAGATCCACTCTAGCAGAAGGCTACAGAGAGTTCACCTAAAAATAGGCTGAACTTCCCCGGGAGGCAGCCAGCAGGGACCCTGTGGGGACACGGCTCCACAGAAGCCCAAGGAGGGAGGAAGCTGGTGCTCTTCCCTCTCTTTGAAGCTCCTGGAGTGGTGTGGCTGTAGGCTGGGCTTGAGGGTGGCAGCACACAGAGACACAGCACTCGCCTCCTTCCTGAACCACTGCCAAATCCAGCTGTGTCAGGGAATAGGCTGAATGCTCCTATCCCCATTGCCTGCCAGCTGGGCACTCCCCTTTCCCAGCCTGGTAGGTGGCAGGGAGCAGTTTGAGAGTCCCTAAAACTCAGCAGGAGCCACCCAGAGAGAGGTGAACCCCGAGTTATGAATCCCTGCCTGCCAGCAAGTGACCTTCCCTGTACAAAGCTCTCTGTACCAGGGAGCTGAGCCACTCTGAAAACACCACAGGTGGTTCAAGCCATAATGCCCCCATGAAACACAGGGTGTCTGCAATCACAGTCTCCTGAGCACTGCAGGGGCTTTGGGCCAACCCTTTCCCGATTCACCAAGGGTGAGAGCTTTGCTGAGGCATCGCTCCCCACAGGAGGTGCAAAGCCCATCACCAAACTGCCCCAACCCCCTGATTTTCACTGTCTGGGGGGGGATCTTGGGGTGTCCCCACAGGTGAGCCATGGGCAGGGTGGGCTGGGAGGGCATTGGCACACTCACCTGGGTTCGGATCTGCTGCTCACGCTCTAACTTCTCCTGGTGCAGCAACCTCACCTGTTCCTGCTGCTGCTGGAGCTGCACCTGCTGAGCAATCACCTTCAGCTTCTCGGGGTACATATGGGCCTCCAGGGAGCGAACCTGAGGGCAAGAGACCCCCAGCATCAGTGGGGAGCCCAGCACAGCACCCCAGAACCTCGACCATGGGCTGTCCCCTCGGTGGGGTGGGCACAGAGGAGCCAGGGAGCCCCGGCCGAGTACGGAGCCGCAGTGTCTGGAGCAGATGTCCAGAGCAGGTGTCCCATGACCCTGCAGCAGTGCTGGTGTGTCCTGGGGGTCTGTCAGAGCGGCAGCAGAGCCCACTAGAGGGCACTCGGCCTCACCTGCTCCTCCAGCATCATGCGGACTGAGCGCTCCTTGTCCAGCTGCTGCCGGAGCTCGATCATCTCCCGACGCAGATCCTCAGCCTTCTCATCTTCCCAGATGTCCGGCGAGCCAATCCCCTCGTCTTTGTCCTCCGCCCGTCGCCGTTTCGGGGAGGCGCCCCTGAATTCCTGCCGTGGGAATGCGGTGTCAGGAAACAGGGACCAGCCTGGATGCTCTCCCTGCCATCTGGACCGTGTCTGGGTAGCACAGCTCCCTGAGCAGAAGGGTCTCCCTGGGGATGTGGTTGATGCCTAAGAATGGATGGGCTCCTGCATGTGCTCCCCATCCTGATCCTCAGTCCCTCAGCCTTGTGCAAACCCATTCTCACACCCTGACACCCAGGACAGCTCCACTGGGCCATCCCAGCACCAGAGCTGCCACCAGGCCATATCCTGACACCCCACCTGCATGGCAACGGTGGAAAACAGGACACCAGCCCTTCTCCCCCTGCCAGATAAGAGATTCTGGGTTGATCAGGGCTCTCTGCCCTGCCAGGAGGGTGGAAACATCTCAATTCCCTAGCTGATTTGGGTAGACAGTCTCACCCTGACCCCAGGGTACCATGATGATGTTCCCTCCTGAGCCAGCCATGATTATCCCACCCCCTCCTGTCCCATCCCTGGAGCACTACCTGAATGAACCGCTTGAGTTGGGTGTTCTGCTGCAGTAGCCGAGTCTTTTCCTGCTCCAGGGAGAAGATGTACTCAGCTGTTTGCTGGAGGATGGCTGCCTGTGGGAGAACCAGGAGGGACACGCTGAGGCAGGAGAGATGACAGCCCTCCCTTGCGAAGCTCCCTCCCAGCCCGGGAGGCAGCAGCACTGCTCCATACCCAGCACTGGCATCTCCATTCAGAGACCACTTCACCCCCAGGCTCCTCCTGGGATTTCTACCGTGGTGAAAACCTAGTTGACTTGTCTCAAGAACCCGCCTGGCTACCATGAGCCTCCTCACCCCACTTCCCTCCACAGCAGGGTTCCCCCCTCATCCTGGCACATGCCACCCTGCTCCTGGGCACTGGGAGCTGTTACATGCTCTCAGCCCACTCTGGGACACTGGGCTGGTGATGCACACTCGGTCCTGCCAGGAAACCTCCCCAGGAGAGACCTCCATCACTGAATTAACATATGCAAATACTCTCAATTATTCTTACAACCCTGTCCTGCCCAGCAAGTGACCCTGAAAACCTCCAGGTGCAGGACGAGCACCCACACTGCCCCAGTAACGTCCCACTCACCTTGCTGAGCTTCTCCCCATCCGTGTGTGGGATGAGGGTTTTCAGGGACTGGAAGCCAGCATTGATGCTCTGCATCCGCCGTCTCTCGTTGCTGTTGGCAATTTCCCTGCGTATCCGACGCTCCTGGTCCCGCTGGGTCTCTGGAGTCAACGGGATGTTGGCTAAGCTGTGAGGGAGGCATGGGGTTAGGGAGGATGGGGCTGCACCCAGCTCACCCCACCACATCCCCCCTCGCTTTACAGTGATGATTCCAAGCCATCAAAGCGATGGGAAACACGATGACGACGGCTGCAGTGCTGGGCATCACCAAAGCAGGTGGGTGGGTTTCTCCAGCACTGTATGCCAAGCTCTGGGGGATGCACTGACCAAACGGTGGCCTTGCTGCAGCCTCCCAGCTCTGCTGGGCTCAGACATGCTGCCCAGCACCAAGGGGGAGCCAAGGACCCCCGGGTGGGCGGGGAGGCTGCGGCCGGCTGTGTCCCTGCGGGGCCGG